CCCCACCTCGGCAGTAGCCCGCCAGCGCCAGCAGCAGCCCCACGGCCTGGCTGTTCTTGCTGCCCTCGGAGCCGGGCACCAGCAGCAGCAGCGCCTCGGTGCTGGCGGCACGGGGGGCCCGCAGCACCCCGAAAACGTTGGTGCCCCGCACCAGCTGGGAGGGACAGCAGGGTCAGCACCCCAAAACCTGAACAGGGACCCCAAAACCCATCCAAGGACCTCAAACATCCCCACAGCACCCCAAACCTGAACAGGGACCCCAAAACCCACCCAGGGACCCCCAACATCCCCACAGCACCCCAAACCCAAACAGGGACCCCAGACATCCCCACGGCACCCCGAAAACGTTGGTGCCCCGCACCAGCTGGGAGGGACAGCAGGGTCAGCACCCCAAAACCCGAACAGGGACCCCAGACATCCCCACAGCACCCCAAACCTGAACAGGGACCCCAGGCATCCCCACGGCACCCCAAAACCTGAACAGGGACCCCAGGCATCCCCACGGCACCCCAAAACAGGAACAGGGACCCCCAACATCCCCACAGCACCCCAAACCTGAACAGGGACCCCAGACATCCCCACGGCACCCCGAAAACGTTGGTGCCCCGCACCAGCTGGGACAGGGACAGCGGGGTCAGCACCCCAAAACCTGAACAGGGACCCCAGACATCCCCACAGCACCCCAAACCTGAACACGGACCCCAAACATCCCCACGGCACCCCCAACATCCCCACAGCACCCCAAAACCTGAACAGGGACCCCAGGCATCCCCACAGCACCCCAAACCTGAACAGGGACCCCAAACATCCCCACGGCACCCCCAACATCCCCACAGCACCCCAAAACCTGAACAGGGACCCCAAAACCCACCCAGGGACCCCCAACATCCCCGCAGCACCCCAAAAACGTTGGTGCCCCGCACCAGCTGGGACAGACAGCGGGGTCAGAACCCCAAAACCTGAACAGGGACCCCAGACATCCCCACGGCACCCCAAAACCTGAACAGGGACCCCAGACATCCCCACGGCACCCCAAAACCTGAACAGGGACCCCAGACATCCCCACGGCACCCCCAACATCCCCACAGCACCCCAAAACCTGAACAGGGACCCCAGGCATCCCCACAGCACCCCAAAACCTGAACAGGGACCCCAGACATCCCCACGGCACCCCAAAACCTGAACAGGGACCCCAAACCTGCCAGGGGACCCCAAACCGCCCAGAGACCCCCCAGCAATCCTCAGGAAGCCTGGGACAGCGAGGGTTCCAGGGACCCCCGCTGCCCTGGGGACCCCAAGTGCCACCAAGTGCTCCCAGTGCCCCGTTCCCAGTGCTCCCAGTGCCCCGTTCCCAGTGCTCCCAGTGCCCCGTTCCCCCATTCCCAGTGCTCCCAGCCCCCCTCCCCCGTTCCCAGT